TTCTGCCTGTTATTAATCTTCCTTTGTGCGAACGGTCGGATTTGATAAATACTTGTTAGAAAACAGGCGGTTATCTCGATAGGCGGAAAGATCTCCAGGGGAAGGCTCGTTCCGTTCATTTGCGGTGGATATTTAATTAACAATATGTCGGCGGGATGGCGATGATTCAATAAATGATAGTTCCAGCATTTTAATGGGAAATTTCGATAAGGATTTCGTTGAATCTCAAATGGAAACAAGAAAGTTAAGAGGTAGAACGCAATTGTGATACCGAGGATGTTTAAATTGATTATCTTTCCCGAGAACTCCAGTACATTTGATTTAAGTACACTCAATTAGGAACAGCTATAGATTTGATAATAAAATGTTTAAACTCCAGCATTCATGATAGTATTTATTATGTTACAATACAATGCACAATTAATAGTAGGATGAAAAAAACGGAGAAAACTGAAGCAGAAACGAACAGCTGGATAGTCGTGATAGGATGATTTAATGTGGCTGTCTGTTACGACGCTGGCTTTCATACATTTCTACGGGACGCGGATGAAGGCCACGCGAGACAGGACAGACGTTTAGCTCCTTCCTCTTGGAAATCTATCTAGTCGCGTGGCAACTTGCAGGCGTCACCCAGAGCGCGCCTCACAGAAAGATCCTGCATCGTGCTCGACTGACGTCCCCTGTTCGTTTCGTTCAGCCGGGGCTAATTAACTCCATCCCGGCCGAGATGAGGAACTCTTTGAAACTTTTATACTGACTAGCAGAGTACAATTTTCGACATAAAAACATCTGGGTGAAGTTTAGGGTTTCGTCTTTCTCGTTAAGAAGGAACGTACTCTGGTCCCCGGTGGTCGAAACTTCGTGTCCTCGAAGGCCTCACACAAGTTCGATGTCACAAAGTCTGAACTCGATATTTTTGTAGCTTAACAGATGTGTTTTGAAGTAAACGAAAATGTTCCGAGTTCAGTGATTTCATTTCCGATGACTAAAATACTTATTGTTATTTATACCTGATTGTTACTATAATATTATTTTGTATTTGAAACTATAATATTATTTTGTATAATAAAAGACATTTATGGGTTCAATTATTATGTGGCAGGATTATATTAAGTTTGACTGTATTTTTATTCTTGATATGAAAGTACACAACTGTATTTTCGAACTGAATTAACAGAAAACCCATATCGCAAACCACGCTCTCGTCCTGCTTCTATCAGCAAATACTCATCTCTTCAACTAATCCCACAGCAATTCCACAATATCGAACTTCATCCGACATCGTGACCATATTTACTATCCATCGTCGTTCCTCCAGAAACAAGCCGCTTCTCGTATTTCCGTGAACCCATAATTCTTACTCTGTGATGTCCGTACGTGGAAACTGACATACTATCGAGAAAAGGACGCAGTGCAACACGACGACGATAAATCAGCAGATTCGTTAGTCGAATATCTTCCTGAATCCATTTGTCCGGCACACTCGTCAGCCAAACAGATCCCACTGTTTGGACAACGACGACCCATTGCGTTTCAATAGCTCTTTCTTTCCCGAACATATCCGTTCTTCCATCGAATAACAAAATCTCGTCTAAATTTATCAATAGATGATTGCCTGGACATGCCTAAGTGAAACAATTCTCTAATATCTCTGAGAGTTTTGATAACTTATTACACAATTTGTCGTTTATTGATTCATTTTGATTCAGACCAATTTTTATATTTAGTATATTTAGTCATATCTTTTAATAAATCGCACTGTCTTCATTATAAGTTTTTTTTGAAATATAAATCATTTTCAATGATGTTATCCCATGTATAGTTTGATTTATAATAGTAGACAGCGAGAAAAGCGTGACAAAAGATTTTCGGTTGGTGAATTTAGATTTAAAAAATAAACTGACTTTTCATATGCATCAGACTAATATATTTATAGGCGTGCGGTGACCGCAGACCGATTTTTCTGCCCGCGGATCGGCAACCGATTGCCGTGCCACGCCGCCGATTCATAGTCGGCGCTTTCGCCTATCCGTTAATTAAATTTATTGGTCATGCCGCAGTCGACCTTTCGCTCGTTTCTACTGGGCTCTCTATCCACGCTCGTTCATTCCAATCATAAATTTCTGGATGCTTGATTTATCGATTCAACCGATCGCTTTGTTGATAGTCGCGTAGGTGTCCACAACGCGGCATGTATAATCTAGCTAACATTAAAAATTGTGAATGTATGAAACTCGTGAACGCTGAAATAGGCAGCTGTTAGGTTTACCACTTTTTAAGAAACTAGTAAGAAATTGTTGATTTGTTTCAAAATTTAGAAAATACGAAATCATCGATATTATTTTCACGAGTATTCTTGTTAATTATTGAAGGAGACAAGCAAATTGCAGTGCACTTCTTTGTAAACGTAAGCAAGAATTATAAAAATCATTTACCTATATCAGAATTTCAACAAGAAAGTTATATAATTTACTGTCTTCATTCCTCTAAATGATTTATAAGCGACATTCTATATTACAAATTTCCTCTAATCCGTCTTTTCATCATTATATAATACATATAATTGTACACAAAACGTATTTCAGACATTCGCGAATGATTCGCGTATGACTGGTTTCAAAGGTCACATGTCGCATGTGTAAGAAGCAGAACAATTATTTTTATGTCCACCTTCACCTTTCACCTTCTCTCTCTCTCTTGTGTACATGTATATGTATACGTATGCATACTTGAATAATACAATCCGCATGTAAATGCTGTCTACGCATTGGATTTCACGTGAATTGCGCCTTGCCACGAATTTACCAAGCTCGATTTATCGTCTGAGAAAAAGGCTCGTAGGGTATTCTCGTAATCCTTTGGCTCCGAACAGTCCGAACCACGGTGCCAACCCTCTCGATGCGTGGGCGTGGGCCACGCAAATCGAATCGGTCCTCCTCTCATCACGTTTTGTCCAAATCACAACCACTCCATATAACCGAGTCTGATTGTAATTTATGCCTTCTCTTTGATACAATCTCGCCGGCTTCTGTTATCTGACCACCTTGGGTCATAAAAGAAAGTCGAAATTAACATTAAGTATTGTTTTCTTTTTTACTCCGGATGAAATAAAGTTTATTCGATTTTCTGTTTAATTTATTTCTTCAGTAGTATAAATGATTTATTACTAATCT